TTCCTCTGGCAGCTCATTCCATACACGCCCACCCTCTGTGTGAGAAAGCTTCCCCTTGGGTCCGTTTTAAATCTTTCCCCTCTCACCTTAAACCCATTCCCTCTTGTTTTGGACTCCCCTACCCTGGAGAAAAGACCTTAGCTATTCACCCTATCCATGCCCCTCATGATTTTATAAACTTCTATAAGGTCACCCCTCAGCCTCTGACGCTCCAGGGAAAATAGCCCCAGCCTATTCAGCCTCTCCCTGTAGCTCAAACTCTCCAAAACCGGCAACATCCTTATAAATCTTTTCTGAACCGTTTCAAGTTTCACAACATCCTTCCTATAGCAGGGAGACCAGAACTGAGCCCAGTATTCCAAAAGTGGCCTAACCAATGTCCTGTACAGCCGCAACATGATATCTCAACTCTGATACTCAATGCATTGACCAATAAAGGCAAGCGTACCGAACGCCTTCTTCCCTACCTTCGGTGACCAGAACTGCACCCAATACTCCATCTCGGTGATTGGTGGTTGAGGAGTAACTTTGACCCAGAGACATGGCAAACCCAACAAGAGCTTGTGCACTAAGGAGAGAACAGGAGAAAGTTGGGGCCTGTCCAGGCGGGAAACAGGAGAATTGTCGTCAGATGCTATTTGCGTAAGTTGTACTTCTTGCTCCTTGGAGGACGGGGAGTGTTCTCTTTCAATCTTTCACAATCATACACTTAATGGTAAGGCCCTGAGGAACGAAGCCGAACCAAGATACCTTGCAGTGCAGGTTCATAGTTCCTCAAAAGTGGAGTTGCAGGTAGACAGGATGGTGAAGAAGGCGTTTGGTACGCTTGCCTTCATTGGCCAGTGCATTGAGTATAGGAGTTGTGAGGTCATATTGCAGCTGTACAGGACATCGGTCAGGCCACTATTGGAATACCGTGTTAAAAGCTGGTCTCTCTGCTATAGGAAAGATGCCGTGAGATTTTGCCAGGGTCGGAGGGTTCGAGCAATCGGGAGAGGCTGAATAGGCTGGGGCCTATTTTTCCCTGGAGTGTGGGAGGCTGAGGCGTGACCTTATAGAATTATATAAAATCATGAGGGACATGGGTAGGGTGAATAATCAAGGACTTTTCCCCAGGGTAGGGGAATCCAAAACGAGAGGGGCATAGGTTTAAGGTGAGAGGGGAAAGATTTAAAAAAGACCTAAGGGGTATTTTTTTCAGGCAGAGGTGGTGCATGTACGGAATGAGCTGCCAGAGGAGGTGGTGGAGGCTGGTACAATTATAACATTTAAAAGGCATTTGGATCGGTACATGAATTGAACGGGGTTGGACAGAAATGGGCCCAATGCAGGCGAATAGGACTAGATTAATTTAGGTCGGCATGGACGAGTTCGACCGAAGGGTCTGTTTCTGTGCTGTACAGCTCTATGACTGTTTCCAGTCTTCCTTGGCGTTCCTTCTTCTCTCCATCTTTACATCTGCTCTGCAGCCTATCTTTCACTCCCCTCCCAACCCCATTCCGACCTGTCATTCTCCATATGGATGAACTCATTCAGCACAGCCGTTTCCTCGGATCCTGAGGCAGATGCGAGAGGAGATTAGCATTTACATTGTCTCTCTGTTGAAGCTGTGATGCCGGGAGACAGATTGCCCTGTTGCCCATTACCCGAATGAGCGCCTTCGACTTTCTTGCTCCGCACATTCGCTCAGTCTGCCACACTAATGCCAAGCCAAAATCTTGTTTTAGTCAACCTTTTCCCCTCTCGTTCTGCCAGTCACCCTATTCCACGCGCCCCCACCCCCAGCCCAGTCTTGGTCTCTGAAACTGGCGGTTCCGAGGTCCACCCCTTTCTCCCTACAATTTCTCTCTTCCCTCTCTCTCTCTCTCTCCTCTCACATTCTTGGTGGTACCTCTCCTGGAGAATGAACCTTGACCTTCATTCCTCAAGGGAAAATAATCAAGGAAGCCACCAGTCTCTGTGAGAGAGGAGGAAGGGTTTCGTAAATAGTTCCAGCATCTGGACAGCAAGATTCTCTTTTTGTGTTTTGCCTTTTTTTTCTCCGTTGTGTGGGCGCAGAAAATTGCTGAGCATCGAGGGAGACAAATCTTTCAGCCCTCTCGTTGAATAGCCGTAACGGACTTTTTGACAAATTGGCTGATGGTCCAGGAAGATTGATGGACTTGACCTACGACCTTGCTCTTTAGTCACCCACCCGGGCCTATCAGCGGCCTGCTCGCGCTGGTCATGTGACTCTCGATGGCCATGGTGATGCGTTTTCCTCATCTGAAGACCAGGCGGAAGAGAAATTGGCAGCTGTGCCCTCAAAGGCTTGCCACACCTTCCCTAATAAGTGCAAATAGATTGCGAATGCTGACCCTGAAACAATGCAGGTGTCAGGGGAGAGACAGATGGCCTCACCTGCTCTAGACTGAAAGGCCTTTTGTCTTTGTTCGTAGTCTGTACCCTCTCACTTGCTGCCCACACTCTGCACACCAGGCCCTCCTCCAGTCCACGTCCCCTCCTCCAGTCAGAGCACCAGCTTTAAGCAGACCCCCCCACCTCCCCACCGTGGCACTGACTGACCCTTTGGCCCACACCAATGCCCCCATGCCCACCTTGTTTCATTGTGAGAGAACGGTCAGTGAGCTGACCATCCAGGAGGGAGTTACAACCAGCCCGTCCACTCAATGCACTCACTCATACACACTGTCTCACAGTTACTCACACTCACACACTCACATACGTTCTCTCGCTGTCACAGTTACACTCACACTGACACTTATACACAGTCTTTCACTCTCACTCACACACACTCATACATTCACTCTCACACACTTACTCTCATACAGTTACACTCACACTGACACTCGTACACAGTCTTTCACTCTCACTCACACACACTCGTACACTCACTCTCACACACTTACTCTCATACAGTTACT